AAAAAAAAAAAAAAAAAGATAGTTTTGGTCATCTTATGATATAATCAATCACTTTGATCAATAGATGGAAGTAAGTGTTAATAATCAAGGGCATTTAATCTGTACATGTACTGGCAAAAGTGATTCTCAGTTAAAAACACACTCTGTATTTTATTTTTACTATTTTTGGAGGATTGCCATATTAAATGAACAAAACGTTAAATTTCTTACTAATCATTGGAATTTTAATTTCTTTTGCAAAACCACCAGAAATTCAAGTATGTTTTTGATGAAATAAACATCTTTACCAGTGTATATAAAGACTTAATTTTTATCTTTTATCTTTCTATATAAAGTCTTATTAAGTTATAATCGAGTCTCATGTAAGATTTTGTATTCCCATTTACTACCACATTCCAATTCATTTAATCATAGAATCTTAAAATTGAAAGAAAGACAGCTTATAGATTGTTTTATTAGATAGATCCAACCTTCTGTGTGTTTAATCTTAAAAATTCTTTATGGTTAATCTGAAGTTAGTTTATGCTTGATTATTTTATAAGTTGGCTACCTTATTTCCTGTGTATGGACAGGAAATACACTTTTAAATTTTAAATAGTTCTTTATTGGTTATTTCTGGGAAAGAGAATTCTCTCAAAGGAAATAGTCCTTCTTTCATTTTAATTTTTAATAGACAGGAATCTGCTAAACTTTTTTCACTGATTTAGATTTAGTTCACATTATTGCCTTAACATTATAATTCTAAATATTGATTATTATAGCTTTCAATATACATAGTACAATATTAGTGTATAGCTAGTTTGTTAACACAAATTGATGCACAGAGTGCTCAGTTTAAGCTTTAAAATGCAAAGACAAAGTATAGTTATTCCTTTAAAACTCATTTAAGTGAATTCAGGAAGATATGCTAATAGTTCTATCAAGAAGAGTATAAGATAGACTTTATTTGTATTGATGCAGAACTGGACATTTTCAGTCCTGCCTCTGCTGATACTATTGGCTTAGCTTCAGAGTACCAGACTAGCATATAGACTTTATATACCAAATATGCAGGGTTTTGTTTTGTTTTGTTTTTTTCACTCTTCTAGAATGCCCAGTATGGGTTTTGTCAAGTGCCAGGTCAGCTGATAGATCAGCTTATAATTCCCAAAGATTCCCAATCCTTGGACAGATATTTGGGGTCACTAGTTGTAAGACTGCATCCAAAAATTTGAGTTTCCCTGAACCTGTTAGGCCTAATTCCGCTGGTGATTCAGGCTTGGTAGATTAGTGGTTAGTCTGCCAAGATTCAGCTTAGATCTTTCTCCTCTATGTAGTTTGAGGAAGGCAGGATTTTCTTACTTACTGTGTGTCCCTCTCTCTTTGAATCATCAAGCCGTTCAAAGTTAGTCCCAAAATTCTGGAGAAGATTTTGTTTTTAATTTTCTGGGACTCCTGGATAATATTAGATCACAAATAACTATCCTTTTAAAATCACCTGCTTATGTTGTGGT